TTAAATATGAAGAAATAGAATACCAACTAGAATAGGGAAAAAAAAGAATAGATATACCTGCAAGACTTCTCTATAAAATAATTACAAATGCTAGGATAGGAACCAATTGGAGAGACATAAATTCAATCAGAATTCTGAAACCAGAAACAGAATACATACATTACAACTAGTCAAGTTTTTGAAAAGAGATAAATAGAACAAAAGGAGTACATTGTATTTTAAGAAAACTAAATACAAGAAGAGCTATAATAATTAAGTGTATAATAAATAGTCTACTAACACTAGCACAACTAAATAAAAGAAGACCAGAGGTATATATGATGACAGAATGCCAAGTCTGTCAAAGTAGTAAAGATGAAACTCAAGAACATCTAGTAAGCTATAATGAACAAAAAAGTATGTGAAACTGAATACAAAAAGTTTTAATAACAATGGCATGAAATAGGTTCAAAGAAGAAAAAAAACCAGAATTTCAACACAAATATTATACAAAGTATTTTTCAGAAAAACAGAACAGAAGAAGTTCTGAATAAAAAGATGCTAATAAAAGAGCTAATAATAATAGAAATAAGAAAAAAACTTGATAAATTACTAAGTAAGCAAGCAGTAAAGAAATGTCTTGACCTAGTAACAAGAACAGTATAGAATACCTTTTATGATCAAATATGAAGAGTCCAATGTGAAAAAATACAAAAATGGAAAAAAGAAATTAATATAATAAGTAAAATAAAAAAAGGTATTTGGGCAGGAAAGAATATAATAAAAAGAAAAAAAAAGACAATAAAAAGACAATAAAAAGAAAAAAAAAAGAAAAGAAGGAAAAAAAAGAGGAAGGAATAGAAAAAACAAGCTGAAGAAAAAAAAAAACTTAGAAGACAATTAATATGCTTGTTACAGAAGAAAAAAGACCTTTCTGGTATGGCTTTAAGTAGTTAGATAAGCAGTCTATCTCTAACTAAGATAATACAGTAGGTTGTACTTAGGTACTATTAGAGTAACTAAGTGATGCTAGACTTAGATATTGGGAAATTCTATATAATTATATATGTATTTAGTTTCAAGAATCTTAATAAAGTACTAACATAACTGCTTAAAGGAAAAAAAAAAAACCAAAATTATAATAAAAAATATAAAATTTTTAGTAAATCAAAAAGTAGATGTAGAAGTATCAAAAATGAATATTTTACATTATTGAATCAGGTGTAATATAAAAATCATGATATTTTTTTTAAAAAACAAATTTTTTATTTTTTTATTTTTACCTTTCTCTGCTATCTTAAAGATCCTTAGACATTTTTAGAACCTGTTGCATCTCTTAAGATTAGAATTATCATTCTGTAAAAATCATTGAATAATGTATAATCTCTGTATATTACTGAATTGTGAGATAACTCATGCTCTATTAAGTCTGTTATATGATGTCTTGAGTCTCTAGTTTCTTGATATAAGACCTACTATATTCTTTGGTTTACAGTTCTCTAACTTCATATAACCTATCAGTCAGATGTTCATAAATTTTGATATTCTTAATTCTATATATTCTTAAATCAAACTCTCTCAATGTTGATGTCATTTGTTGATGGATTACATCTTATCTGGTTGTTCCTAACCCTGTGACTATGCTGATTACTGCATTCTTTTTCATATAAATCTTGTTCTTGCTTTTTAAATAGAAATCCTTTGCAGATTTTTTTCAATCATAATTCTGGCAGAATTTTTGTTACCCTCTAAACTCGAACTCATGACCTGGTGATTGAGACCCAGGAGCACTAACCACTATTGACCCACGGGTCAAACACAAAATTTTGTCTCTACGCACTAATAAAAAAAATTTCCTTGTAAAATTCGGTCATTACCCTAACCATAACATAAGGTTTTATAAACTTTAAAAATATTACACATATTAGTTTGTGTAGATCATCTGATTGGGGGTAGCCTGGTTAAGACGTTCAAGAACGCCAAAAGTTATGATGGTTCTTCATCACAATCACTAGCAGCTTGCTGCTTGAGAACACCATAAATTAAGATTACTGTATAGCACTGCAAAACCAATCGATTCGATATACAGACTATAATTTATAAAAGCATAACGATAACTTTATTGATATACGCATTTTAATATATATAATATATATATATGGTTAGTTTCAATATTAGCACCCCGTAATTACATGTTGATATTTATTTTTATCTTTATCGAGGGTTTCTACCTTTATTGAATCTATGGATTTTTTTTAAAAAAAAACAATCTCACTTTCTAATTTTATAGTATAATAATTTAATATTATTAGAAAGGCATGTTTTCAACTAAAAACTACAGTTTGAGCCACAGATACTAGAACCACACAGTTTGAGCTATGGCTCAAGCCTCATAGCCAGTGTTATAAATTCAAAAAATTTTTATTTGCGCAAACGCAAAAAAATGTGCACAAAAAAAAAAAATTTAGACGCGCACTATATATACGGAGAGCGCTGATATACGCAAAATTTAAATCTATGTACGCTGCGCCTACTGCGCGAACCCAAATTTACATCACTGGTCATAACTCCAATAGACATAGTTCAAGCTGAAGCAATGACTTTTAAGAGCCGAGATAAGCCATCCTGGGTAAGAACTAGAGTTGCTGGTGAAACTAATTTTAAGTTTCACCATTAAGTTTCTCATTTGGCTGTTTTATTTAGTTTCACCAGTTTCACCATTATTTTCACCAGTTTCACCTGCAACTCTAGTAAGGACACATTCACATAATTTTCCGATCTAATAGCCACCTTATGTTTTGAGCTTTCGAGTTTTATAATTTAATTTTTGATTGTTTTTACTAGCACTAAAAAAATCGGCCTAGATTATACTATCACCTAATCCTAACTTAGGCCGAGCGTTTAATTATGTGATGTGATGACCATGAAAATATATATCACTGGGTTCCTTGTTCTTTTATTTAACTTTAATTTTTTTTTTTCTTAGGAAACAAAATATAATTGCATTGCATGAACCTATGCGTGCATTAACTTGGAAAATATATGCGGTAATTGTAAAACGACGTTCATTATAATAAACAATTCGGCTGATTTTACTATGGAAATATAATGTGCAATGATTACTATTTCAGCGATGATTACTATTTTAGCTGATTTACTGATTTACAACATACGTACTTAGAGAATATTTCAGCTGATTTTTAATAGGTAAATATATTATGCGTGATGATTACTATTCCATCTAACTTTATTTATAGCATTTTTGTAGCAACGAAGTTTGTGTTATCGTTATAATTGTACGTATTGCACGAACCTCTGCGTATACACTAACTTGGAAATATATTATGCGATAGAATTAATTAAGAATAAGCTTCTAAATTAATTCGGTCACATTCAACATTAAATTTGGTCAAATTAATTTATCTTCATTATTTTATGAGAGGCTTAAACATTAGTTTTTTAATATTTCTTTTGCTTATGATACGTAAGCATAATACCTGTAATAGTAAATACAAATAAGGAATACGATACAGAAAAAAGCAAATCATTATAATGATAATTTATAGTTATTATATAACGATATAGTTATATTAAACTCAAATGGTCCTCGATGATTGATTTGTTACATGGTGGATGATCATTGATCTGTTTTTGATAATTTTGGATTGAAACGAATGCTAACATTAATAGCATTCATTCAAGACAAAAATTCATTGAAGACGGGCTAGGCGTTCATGAAACATCGGTATTATATTAATTACATTAACAACCCGATTTCTATTTCCGCAAACTTCCAACTTTAATTTTACGTTCGGTACCATTTAATGATTATATTTCGGGAACAACAGATCAGTTTCCGATTATCTTAAGTCTTACAGCCTATAACATTCTTCTAAGCCCAAGATCATCGAAATTTGATCGGCCATTCTTGGTTTTAGAACGTACGACGTGAATAATTATTTCCGGATCTTTCAGTGATTGTTGTATTTTTACTTGAAAATCCGCACAGATCTGTATTAAAAAAACTTTCCGATGACTGTCATTCTTTGTACGTATACGCTAGAATATTATATTTAGAATAATACTTTTTAAAACTAATATTTTAGAAGTTTGCCAAGAATTAATAAACATCTTTTTTTGATTAAAATGGTTTTTTTTTTAAAAAAAAATAAAAAAAATTTGACAATCTTTTTTATTATCATTAATTAAAATCAAAAATTCAACATATTGAACGGCCATTCAATCGTTATTCAACATGTTATTTGACAACAATAGTATTTTATAGTATATTTTAGAGTATAAATTATGTATTTACCAACAAAAATATACTACAATTTACTTTAATTAATTTATTATTGTTTTAATAAATATATATAAAAAAAAGAAGTTCTCAAAATTATTATCGCGGCTGATGATAAAATTGGTTTATGCTGAAATTTATTTTGACATGAAATTTTATAATTATTTTAGAGTGTTTTTTTTCGCTTTTTTTTCAGGGTTTGGATAGAATTTGGGGCTAGAATTATAAAGTGTTAGTAGGGCAAATTGAGATCCCAAATTTCAGCATCAGCATCAGCGTCAGCCACGATTATTATTATTATTAGATTCAATAACGATAATACTTTATTCAAGTACTTAATAATAAACTTTTATCATTAATAGATATATTTAAAAGTTGAATAGAACCCAACAAAAAAAATAAAATTTGGCCAATAATTCTATAATTCAACAAAAAATTTTTAAAGATTTTTTTTTAAATTTATTATTATAAAAATGAACAATTGTGCATAAAAAGCATTAGACGAATTACTGATTTAAATGTGATTATCTAGATAAATGTCATTGAAATGTGTTTTATGTCTTGCAATAAGTTTATATGGCTGCTATGTAAAAATAAATTATTAAATATTTAAATAAAATAGGAAGAAATTTGATATTCGTTAAGAAGATAGACTTAAAATTCAAAACCATCTTAATTGCAGCAAACCTTATTGAACAACTTTATGCTATGGAACGTTGATTTAAATAATGAACATGAAAGAAACGACGGCCAATAAAATAAGTGCACCAAAACTTTTATAAGGAGATGATGTTCCGGCAGCAGATCTACCAGCAGCAGATTTAGAAGGAGGTTCGGGAGTAGGAGTTGGGGTTGATGGAGGAGTATAAACTGAGGCTATTTAATCGGACATTAAATGTTAGTTAAATAATTACTAAAGAGAAATTTAGATTTGATAAATTTGAGTACGTACATGTGGTACCGCTTGGCTTGATCGAAAACAACTCGGAGGTGGCGTAAATCATTGAGGCATTAGTAGGATGGGAGAAGTAAATGAAAAAACCTACAACGAATTCAAGGATTGATTTTATATATATATTTATGTATATATGTATATAACAAGTATTTATTTACATAATCTTAATTACCTTGCTCTTGACCGTAATTATCGGAAAGGGTAATATTCGTTTGTTGAAGACTAGTGAGAACGTTGTTTGCGAGAGCAAGACCACTTCCGGATGCTAACTGAGATAAATTCTATATATATAATAATAATCATTTATAATATTATTTGACTGTTAATAATATAAAAATCATAAAAGTACTATGGAACGAAACTTACATTATTCCTCAAATAAATGTTGAAAGATGAAGGATCCGATGAGTTAGAAGTCCACTTAACAGACTGAACACTACCATATACCCAATAAAATAGCGATGACGGATAAACAATGTCGATTGCGGCTACAAAAAATTCATTCGAAAATTGAATGCGCAACGATATTAAACCATTTATTTTATAGTTCGCTTTAAGCATCATTTTTTTACACTTACATGCTGAAAAAGTAGCCAAAACAATCAGTAAAAACGTAAAGATATAAGCACGCATGTTTATAAAATTTCAGATATACTTGAAAGAATCTCGTTAAATTTTATTTAAAAGAGAAGAGAAGTTCATGAAAAAATTAGGAATAAAAAGAATAAAAAGAATAAAAAGTGGTTTTATGCGAGAAACATATTTCTAGGGTAATTTAATAAGATCTTGCAGGAACAATATCGATATATAAAGATCGTCAAGATTCATAAAATAAACCACAATTTTAGTATATAACACTAAATATAAAAAGTTTATAATTAGTTTTTACGTATTACATTATTTGCATGTGTGCGATCGTGCCAGACTTGATTCTAAATTTACTGTTGGTCATTCATACGTTTCTCAAATATATATTCTATTTTAATTTTTTGAACAAAGTTTTTATCGAATCCAAGTTGTTTAAGCTTAAAGTGGTATTTATACTCGGTAATGCACGTATGTACAATGGATGATACAACTCAAACTTGTAACGTTTTAATTCATAAACGTATAATAGGCATTTATCTCTATGAACATAATAGTTTGTTATGTTTATAGCTAGCCTCATAAAACTACATAACATGTTTAAGGAAGTGGTTTAATTGTCACGCATCGTGGTATCGGTATCAGGTATATAAAAAATTTATATAAAATTACTTTTTTCAGTGATCACGATATGTGACAATTAAACAACCTCCTTTTTTTAATTCGTCACTACATAAAACTACTTTGAAAGTTTATATTTTACATGAATCTTGTGACTAAAGCCGTTATTCTTTTTAAAAAAAAGAATTCCACTATTCAAAGTATGTACATACAACTTCTTGAAAGGTTATTTTTAACCACTTTTATTTACCTCTCTAACAAGGTCATAGTATCTAGTGTAACGTAAAAATTAAAAGCGCTTAAAAAAGATTAGGTTTAATTTAGAACTTTAACTGTAATTACAATAAGGTTGTCAAAAAGTCCTGGAGTTGGTCTTTTCAATCGACTCTGACTCAATAACTACTTATGAGAAGAGTCCTAAGAACCACATGTAATAGAATTTGTTATTTGTTTCCAAGATTGTTTATAGGACTAATTAAAACTAGCACGATCTCATTAAACCCCTTGATTTCAGATCTGGTCTATACTGGCCTTTTTAAGTACATAGAGGCCGAGACTCGTATTATCGCTATGTATGAACCAAACTACTAAGGGTAGCAAAAGTTTTTTATTACGTAATTCAAAACAGGTGATGATTATGATCCTAAATATATTCAAAACTATTCGGACTTTAATCATCACCTGTTTTAATCAGTGAAAAAATGTTTAACCTTGTTTTTTTACCATCTATAGGCTTGACTTTTAGAGCTGAGTAGAACCGGATGGGACTTTAAAATGCACTTACTACTCATAATGTCACATGAAATTGCGTTACTTTCAGAGGGGATGCACCTATGGTAGATTGACTGTACAATTGTTTCATGTCCAGTTTTGAGTTTTTTATTCGGAATTTAAATTAACAGTTTGAATTAAATCATCTTTGGTTTATTAAACACTGACAATGGCCAAAATGTAATAGACCACTAATGATTTATAAACTAGATTAAATATCTATTGGATTTTTTTTAGAAATACAGTCTAACTTGTGCCCTTGTACTGATAAATTTGTGCTCATAAACAATTAGAAATTATAATGGTGATTTGTCAAAAATGCAACAAAATGGTATGATTACATAGGCCAGAATAATCTTTGATGATTTGTTTATAAATTTTGTTTTTTTTTGATTTGTTTATAATTTTATTTATCGTGTTTTCTTTTGATTTACACAAACATATATTCACGAAGCAATGACTAGTATACAAAGCGAAGTTCATTTACAGAATTGAAATCACAATAAAAATTAGTATTCACCAAAAGGAAAATCTACCATTTTTTTTCTATAATTATTCTTAATAAAGTTTTATCACATTGTATTAAATTCTGAATGATTTGAATGGGATAATAGTAGTCGGACAAATTTGCCGTTTTCGGATACTGATTTTGGTAATTCATAATTGAATGCGTTTTAGATATCTCTACATAATCAAAAGAGCTTATCAATGAAAATAATTAATCATTATTAATGCTTCCTTTTTCGACATATTAATTACTATATCGCACTATTACTTTCACCATAGTGATTTATATTTTCTCCAAAGTTTTATCATACGAAAAAAAGTTTATCATTCAACAAAAAATTTTGGCCTACATATTCAAACAAAAATTTTTTATCAACTTTATTCAAAAAAAATTTTTAATAAAAATTTCAATGCTTACAAATAAATATATAACCACAAGAATTTTTGTTTTTCTATTTTTGCATAGTGAAAGTAACTATTTATAAAAAAATTATAAGCTACGGTAATTTTAAAAAAAATTGATTTTATGATCAAATTGGTTAATTAGATAGATGTATTATAATATACATATTTAAATTATAGTTTTTAATTTAAAGCTAATTTATTTGTTTATTAGAAGTTTAGGTATATGGGGAGAGTTAGTAAAAAAGAAACAAATTATTTTTAGTAAAATTATTTTAATTTTTAAATTAAAATAACTCAACAACTATGTAATCAAATTTGCTAAAAAATTTTTTATTTTAATTTTAAAATTATATAAAATTAAAATAAATAAAAAATATTAAATTTAATAAAATAGTTGTTGAGATATTTAAACTTAAAGTTAAGAAAACTTTTACTTAAAAAAAAATTGTCTTTTTCTACTAATTCTTCTTCATATATTTATATTTATAAAATTAGTTGTATATTTTAGAAGAAGTTACATATAAACATCAAGAAAAAGCAACACATAAACTTAGTATAAGACTTATAAAATTAAAAAAATAATTGTTTTTTTATTTATTTAAATTATTTAGTTAAAAACTTATTTGATTATTGCTTCAAATTTTGAATCAAATTGTATTAAAAATTTAAATGCTTAAAAAATATTTTTATTTTTATTTATTATTTTTTTAAAGAATTTTATAAAATAGTGCATCTGTATTATAATACATTTTATATTATATAATCACTTATGAAACTATTATATATAGGTTTATTATTACAATATTATTATTGCATTATAAATTTAAGATTTTATAATTTATTGCATAATGCAATATATTGCACCCCTATTTTACTATATAAAGATCATTAATTTTACATAACAAAAAAAATTTATTAAAGCAAAAAATAAATTTTTATTAATATTAAAGTTAGTGTTAAAGTTTGAGATAAGGCAAAGTCATAAGATATATTAAAATTTTACAAAAAATTTTTTTTATTAGTACTTCAAAAGTAGTTTTATAGACAAAATTTTTAAATAACAAAAAAGATGCAATATATTGCATGTGCAATAAATTATAAAATCTATAGATTTATTATATTATTTACAAAAATTTATATAAAAAATAAATATTTATTTTATTATATTATAAAAATAAAATTGTAAAACCTAATTACCTTAACTATTTGTTAGTTTATATAATAACACTTTGAACATTTTAATAATTTTTTAATAATAAATTATAAATGCATCTAATATAGCTAAGATATTATATAGTTTTATATTAACAATAATTAAAAAATCTTAAACTCTTTCTAATAATTTTTTGTACTAATTTTTTATATATACTGATATATAAATATTATATAATTAGTATGTTTATACTTAACAAAGCTTTGATATAAAGTATTTGAATTTAAAAGTTTCAGATTATATATAAGTAATATGAAAAAGAATTAAAAAAAACAGCTTCTTGTAAGTTTGACTTTCTAGTAAAAGTCTATAGAGTTATTAAAAAAGTAACTTTAGCTACAACTAAGAAAGTATTTATCAAACTATATCTGAGTAATAGTAAAGATAAAAGTTTGGTTAGATAAGTTATTCTATATAATATAAACTTCTATAGTTATTATAATTAGTGTTTTAAAAAATTTTTTTTTACTTTTTTTTAAAAAATTTTTTATTAAAAGTAGGCAATTTGGTTTACTTTTATTAAAATTAGCATTATTGATTTTTTTAAATCATGGTTGTTTATTAGTTTTATTTTTTTTATTTTTATTTTTATTTTTTTTCCTTTATAAGCAGTCACATTAGTACTTTATTGCGTTTTTGTAATTATATTTGTAACTACATACATATCTCTAATATCTAAATCTAGCATCACCTGACTACCTTAATAGTATCTAAATGCAACCTGTTGCATTACTTTGAACAGAAGTAAACTACTTGTCTAACTACTTAAAGTCTATAATAAAAGGGCTTTCTTTCTTTCATGACAAACCCCAAAATTGTCTTTGTTACTTCTTTCTTAACTTGTTTTTTTTTTTTCTTTCTTCTTTCCTCTTTTCTATTTTTTCTTGATTTGGCTTTTTTCGTTTTTCTGATTTCTTTGGAATTTCATCTTTTTTCTTTTACTTTTCTCTATTATTCCAACTTTTCCTTCTATTCAACAATTTTCTCATAACATATTCTCTATATTTGTTCATAAAATGTGTTCCAGGCTGTTAAAGCTGTATCATTAATCATCTGATTATTTTTTATCAGAGACCTATTCTCCTCTCTTTTTTTAATATATAAATAATTAGGTTCTTTATATATAATTTCAACTTTTTTTACCTTCTCTCCTTCTAAAAAATCAACTGATTTTTGATACTTCTCTTATTGCTACTGTATTTGCAAACTGCTGTCTTGATTTTGTGTTTAATAACTCTGCTAGTTTGTTTTGTATTTCTTTTGGAATTAGGCCTTTTATTAGTGCTTCTCTTGTTTTAACTTTCTCTGTCTCTGTTTTTCCAAAGAGTGCTGCATATAATATATATGAGAGAATTTGAATCTTCTTTTTTTCTTTTAATTTCTTCTATACTGTTGCAATAGTCACTTTTTGGATTCTCTTCCAAAGATTTCTTTACTCCTTGCATACTGCCAAGTATGCTTGTGTCTCTTTTACTTTATCTTGGCATACTTGGCATTCTACCATTGTATATATATCTGGTCTTCTTTTGTT